AATACTGCCACCACCAGCATCAGCAACAACAAATGTTTTTGAACCCACTACTTTGAATACAGTAATAAAGTAATTGGAATATTCAAGTATATAATAATTTTAGCTAACAGGTTAGTTTCTTACTTGCTCATTTACATGGAAGTATCTGTATAGTCATGTAATACTTGGTACAGTTCATAGGACATGAAGCACAGTTGTATTAATTTGATTCATTATAAAGATTTATAAGTGTCTCCTTGTTTTTATGAAATATTATTGGTTATATCTATAATTCTTTGGGATGTCAAAAGCAATTTCTAATAGAAGCATAGTTCCACTAGTAAAATAGGATTCATTTTAATTTCCTTAAAATACGTGCTATGAAAAGGGACTGTTGCTTGTATCTATGTATAGAAGTAAAGTTGGTGGTAAGGATTTGGACATTCAACATGGACAGGGAATTAGGCACTTTATCATATGTGCTGGTCTGCCATGTTTCAGTCATTCAAGGCCAAGTCAACTTAATATTTTATTTTAATTGTTTAAAACAGTTTATGACCTAGTTTTGCATCCTTTGAATTTTATACAAATTGAATCATATTATAGGTATTCTATAAGTTGCTTTTCTTCACTCCATATGTTTCTTAGTTTTGTGGATAATCCTGGTTTCTGTTTCTATTCTAGTGAATACCTGTTGATCACATTTTACTTAACATCTTGTTTTCCATTTCTTATTGATTTCAGAGAGGAAGGGAGAGGGAGAGAGAGATAGAAACATCACTGATAAGAGAGAATCATAGATCAGCTGCCTTTGACATGCTCCCTACTGGAGTGGAACTTGCAACTCGGGCATATGCCCTGACCGGGAATCAAACCATGACCTCCTTGTTCGTAGGCTGATGCCCAACCTATGAGTCACTGAGCCACTTGCTGGGTCAACTTAATATTTTAGTGCTCAGCTTTCCCTGGTACTATGGGACTAATTTTCTATAAATATAATCTTAATATGCCTTTTAAAATTAAAATTCTCACTGACTTTAAATTAAAATTAAAATTTTCACTGACTTTATTGATGTTTGGAGAGTTTTGTGTGAAGGACTGATAGCATACATGGATGGGGATTTGTACACCATAGGGAAAGTTCTAAGGGCTGAGGTGAAGGGAATTGAAGACCACCTTTACATACTCAATCTGTGTTGGTACCATTATTTTTTGCGATAATTGGAGAAATGGATGGATAATAATGAAAAGGCATGTGGGAGAAAATAACTATTAAAAAGGAAAGAGAAGAACAAGACAGTGAGATGTATAACTGCCATTTGTATCTGCCTCTGGGTCTGGTTCCATAGACATTAAACTTTTATAATTGAAATATTCTGAACTATCCAGAGTGTTCCTTCTCCCATCCTGTCCTATCTTTTCACATTCTACTTTTTCAAATCCCACCAAACAAGGGAGAGGAGAGCAAGGAGCTGGGGAGCAGCCTGAATATGTGGGGCAATTCAAGGGCTGAACATTACAGGAAGAGCCCTTTGCTTGGACTAAGTTAGGACATCTTTCAGCATGAATGAAAATTTTTTTTAAAATTGTTGCCATGAAAGAATTAGCTCTTTGAGGAAACCTCTCCCTCTCTTTTTCTTTGAGTCAGTTTTGACAAGTTTTTTAAGAAGAGGAAATCACTTTAGAAGAATTTAGTCTGTTAAAAGTAGAAAGGAAAGCTTATTGGTACATATGTTAGTCTCTGGGGAATGGGCTAGAGGGGAGACACAGAAGGGATTCAGCATGATCCTTTATGAATGGGGCATATTAGAGATTGATTTGTTGATTTCCTTCTGCATTCTTCCTCTTCCCTTTGCACATACTCTGTTCTATGAATATGGCATTACTCTTGTCTTTCACTGAGTTTGAATGTTGCATGGTGGTGAAGAGTCCAGGCTTTGGACCAGTCTGCCTGAGATTGAATCCTGTCTCCACTGCTTGTTAGCTCTGGGACTCTGGGCAAGTCCTTGAATCTCTTTGTCTTGGTTTTCTCATCTTTTAAATTGGAAATAGTACCTACTGATGGCATTGTTGTTGTGATTAAATGAGATAATAGTATGTGAAAGTGCTTAGAACAGTACCTAATTATGTACCTAGTACTAGAACTCAATAAATGTAAACTATCATCATTGTTTCATTAAGCAGGTAGATAACCTTCTTCACATTTGTTTTATAACATTATATCTATTTGGTTAAATAAAGAATACATTTCAGCTGCTTAACATTAAAAAAATAGGCTAAAGATTAACTGCCTGAATTTTTCAAATAACCAAATATATGAATCTCTTGAGTATTATTGCACTGACCACAAAGATTAATTGTTGTCGTCACTGCTTAAATAGGGTTTGCTTTTTGGAGAAAAGGTTATCATTTATAGATGCCTTCATAATTCATATGTGTTGAGTTCTGGAGTTCCCCATGTGGAAGGTCTGGTTTTTAAGCCTTAATAAAGTTACTGCATCAAAAATAGGATTAATTAAATTTTCCCTTAAATATTTTAACTTTAATGTTACAATAATAAACTCTTTCTTATTCCTTATACAGCATAAAAACTTCCTTTCAGCTTCGAGGTATGGGATCTGATTTAGAACTAAGAAAAGTTTAATAATTAACCATGTTGGTTCTGTGTATATAGTTAGGAATTGGTTAAGAGTATATAGTCATGTTTATGAGCAGCCTTGTTTAGTTTTTGTTTATTTTAAACATTGAAGTAGATAACAGTTAAAGAGGTTTGGTCTGACTAAATTTTAAAAAATATATATATTTTATTGATTTAAAAAAAATATTTTATTGATTTTTTACAGAGAGGAAGGGAGAGAGATAGAGAGCCAGAAACGTTGATGAGAGAGAAACATCGACCAGCCGCCTCCTGCACACCCCCCACGGGGGATGTGCCCGCAACCAATGTACATGCCCCCGACCGGAATCGAACCCGGGACCCCTCAGTCCGCAGACCGACGCTCTACCACTGAGCCAAACCGGTCTCGGCAATTTTATTGATTTTTTTTTTTACAGAGAGGAAGAGAGAGGGATAGAGAGTTAGAAACACTGATGAGAGAGAATCATCGATCAGCTGCCTCAGCACACCCCCTACTGGGGATGTGCCCGCAACCAAGGTACATGCCCTTGACTGGAATCGAACCTGGGACCCTTCAATCCGCAGGCCGACGCTCTATCCACTGAGCCAAACCGGTTTTGGCTAATGCTAGATGTTTTAAAAGTGATTAAGTCTAGGGGCATAGAATAAGACATGTCTCATGGCTTAACTCAAATTCCAAAGTCTTTGACTATAAGATACATTGGGCCTTTAGGGACCTATGGGGACAGTGGTGGGAGGGGGAACTCATTGGTTAATAAAAATTTCTAAATTTATAACTTTTCCGAGAGTGACAGTAATGTCATATACCTTAAAAAACATTGACTACCTCTTGTTCCCTTATATCTGGTAGAGAAATCCCATTTTTTTTTAGGTATCCTATCTACATTTTAGGTTTATCCTAAAATTGATGCAACAGGCAGTGTTTTGGGGAAATTATCTATGAAGTCCTGAATACTTGGGGTAGCACTTGGGTTGTGAAGTGCAAAGAGGGGCAAAGGGTTGTAGAGAGTAGTCACATGGAATTTTTGTCATTTTTGACTTCATGGACACGCCTAGCCCTTGCTGCTTTCTGCTGGGGCTGCTGATGGCGATAAGGTGGGTGCTGCTAGCTTTTGCACTTACCTTCAGGGAGCTGGTGGCCCATCCTTTGAAGCTGCTGTAAAGCATTTACTGGGAGGCTGTTTGCAAGTAACTGGCCAAACCTTGTTGAAATCCTTCATGAGTACCAGTACAAAGGAGAAACATGGGAGTGTGGTTAGAGACCCGGGCACTGTGCGAGCCCCATAATTCACTCATTGTGGAACCTCAGTGATTGTCTCTACTTTTCTTTTTGGAAAATAGAGAATAATAATACAATGCCAGCAGCTTGTCTTTAATAATGTTTTGAGGATTGATGAGTTAATCACGTTAGATGAAGGCTGCAGAGCTTACTCTGGTCATAATTTCATTGTCTTTCTAGGGAAGCTCCAGTTTGGGGGAATAAAATAGTGGAAAGAAGATAGGAATAGCTAGGTACAACTTAGTCGGTTCAACTTTAAGTTCAATATTTCAAGTTCAACTTTAGATCAGGCTTCCATTCTAGCTGGGGAATTTTAACCTAAAATTTCTAGGTGTTTTTTAGAAATGACACAAAACCAAATGTTGGGCCCTCTGTTTGTGGGAAAAGATAGATTTTTATTCTGAGGACATATTAATAAGATGCTAGTGGTTTTCTTCCACTGCAAGGGAAGAAGATGGGTCAAAAGAAAGAGCATAGATTTAAGTAGCAATCATTTTTATTGTCCTAGTACTCATGTACTCTTTTGAGAGTTGGTATTACTTTATTTTGTTGACTTCTTTGACAAAAAAACTTCATAGATAGCAAGCCAAAGTAACACACACACACACACACACACACACACACACACACACACAAATACATACCACTCATCATTTGCTTTAAATACCAAGGATGTCAGCATGAAATTAAAATGAACCGACTGACATATCTGCTTTGAAATTTTTTACCAACAGTGAAAACTTCTTGCTTTTACCTTATAATGGGAACTTTGACCTTTTTCATTGTTTTTAGCTTAAGGAAGTTGACATTGGGGTGTTTGGGTTAAAATTAGCTTCAACTCTAATGGCTCTTGGGATTTTGGTCAATCTTTGGTGTGGAATGACAAATACGGTCAATTATGTTGGTATCATAAATTTTCAAAGACAAGTTGTCTGAACTAGTGAATGTGGTATCCCCTCCTGGCCATATGTAACTGTTAAAAAACACTGTTGTCATGTGAATTCTTATTTTTTTTTATCTTGCTTTTGAAATAACTTTCACAGAGAATTCCTGTTACCTAGAAATTGATGACAGACTTATACCATTTCCTTTTTTTTTTCTTAGACGTTCCATCCTCAGAGCAGCCTGAACTGTTCCTAAAGAAACTTCAGCAGTGCTGTGTCATTTTTGACTTCATGGACACGCTATCTGATCTTAAAATGAAAGAATACAAGCGCTCCACTCTTAATGAACTGGTGGACTACATTACAATAAGCAGAGGCTGTTTGACAGAGCAGACTTACCCTGAAGTAGTTAGAATGGTGAGTTTCTTTTTTTTTGCCGCGGACACTTTTAAGCACCTTCTATAGCCACTCACAGGTGTATTCATGGCAGAGGCAGGCCGTTGGAGGTCACCTCCACGAAAGAGAGCCAACCTCCTGAGAGCTATGCACAAGTAGCTGACACAGTCCTAGAATTTAAAGAGCACTATTTTATGGGAATGAAATTCAGAACTTTTCACCTACAACGGTTTTGGAGGAATCAGTGACTTCAAATTATGAAGCCAAGATTGCCAGGGTATTATTGGTTTTCTGGTTTTGGGAAAAGAACAGATACAGGAAAATCAACAACATTTTAGAAAAATATTCAAGCCTGTTGGATTTCTTGATACCCTTTCCCCTTCCTCATTGATTGTGGTATATTAGAAATGGCTTTATGCTTAATAAAATGTGATTTATAGAATCTAGTTAAGCCTCTCTTGGCTTAATAAGCTAATCATTCTCTTTATAATCTTGAAATCGGGGTGATGTCTTTCATTATTTTTGAAAAATGTCTTGCACTTTGTGTGGTCGTTAGGAATTAAGAGAAGAAACATTATGAACTAATGCAAGTAACTTGCATTGATCAATAATTATATTAGTTTTCCAAAAGCTGGGGAAAAATATGATTTTCTATTAGATTTGTGTGGGCAGGTTGCCTTCCTGGGCACCCTGGAAGATCTGGAATCAGTGCATGCTGTTTGGGTGGGATTGGGGTTGGGGTTTGGGGTTAGTCTACTAACTGGCGAAATTGCTTTAGAGACCCAAAAGGTTCAGTTCATATTATCATAATATGAGAAACTGTGACTGATGTGTGAAGGCTATTTCCAAATAATATCCACTACATTCTTTAGACCCATATCTGAGTGTATATTGCATTTGTCGTTGATTTATAGTACTATAGTACTAGACTGTTTGATAGGTTAACTGTTAACATTGTGGCTCTTGAGCAGTGGTTCTCAACCTGGGGCAATTATGTTTCCAAGGGCACTTTGGCAGTGTAGAGACATTTTGGTAGTTACAGCCAGGGGTGGGAGGGGTGTATGTACTATCAACATGCAGTGGAGAGAAGCCAGAAATGCTGCTAAACATCTTACATTGCACAGGACAGCCCTTCTGACCCCCAGTCGTCTCCCCCTCTACCCCCCAAAAGAATGACCTGGCCCCATTGTCTGTAGTGCATAGTGAAGAAACCTTGCTCTAGAGTTTGCGTATTATCTCACTTTAACCCGAAGCTTAGGATGTTCTCTAGTCCACCTGCCTTCTGCAGAAGATGCTCCCTTGCCTTTTTAAAAAAAATATTTTTATTTACTTAAGAGAGGAAGGGAGAGGGAGAACTAGGACCCTTCAGTCCGCAGGCCGATGCTCTATTCGTTGAGCCAAACTGGTTAGGGTGATGCTCCCTTGCTTTTAACCTACCTATGTTCTCAGCCAGCAGAGGTGTCCACTATTTATAACTTCCTTCTGCATCTTTCTATGGATAGTTTATGAAAATGTTAGAATACAAGCCTATAAGCGTAAATATTGTTTTCTTATAAACACAAATTTGTATTCACACTCTGTAACTTGCTTTTTTCACTTATCAGTATAAAGTATATGTCAGTATATATAAAGCTGCCTCACTCAATCTTAATAGCTCCACAATATTTCATTGTGTGGATATGCTATACTTTATTTAACCAATATCCTATGAATATCCTTGTATGCACAGCAGTGTGGCCTTGTGTGAGAACATCTATATATTTGCTAATTAAAAAACACACATTTATTGATTTGCGAGAGAGGGAGAGAGTTTTGGACTGGGAGAGATAAAGAAAAAGTAAAACATTAATTTGTTGTTCTACTTATTGATGCATTCATTGGTTGATTCTTACATGTTCCCTGAACAGGGATTGAACCTGTAACTTTGGCGTATTGGGACGATGTTCTGAGTTTCCCAGCCAGGGCTGATTTGTTTTTTAATAGTCTTTCTTTTCTCCCTGTTGGACCTTCATGTATTCCCTGCCACCACGCCTCCAGCCCTACATTACCTCCAATCCCCAGGTCCCCACCACTAATTCTGATTCTCCCTTTCATTTCAGGATCTTAAAGTGCTACTAGTGATACCTGAAAAGCTCAGAGTTTTCTCCTTCCTTAAGTTCCTCAGCAACCTACCCTTTTTTTCTTCTTCTTTCTTTAGCAAATTAGTTCATTTGTTGCTTTTTAAGTCTTTTCATACGCTTGTCTGATTTTTTAAATTAGATTCTAAACACTTCTAGGCAAAAACTATGTGTCTTGCACATTTCTGTGTCCTAATGCCTCCTAGCTCAAGCCTATCTGAAATTGATTGAATGAGTAGTGAACCTTCTAAAAATGTAAGCATTTCAGGCATTCAAAGCACTATTAAAACATTGAATGTTGGTTGTGGGTTAGATCCCTGGTTGGATTATGTACTGGAGGCAACCGAATGATTCTCACATTGATCTCTCCCTCTCTCTCTCTCCCTCTCTCTCTCTCTCTCTCCCTCTCTCCCTCTCTCTCCCTCTCTCCTTCCCTCCCTCCCTCCTTCTCTTTCTCTCCTTCCTTTCCTCTATGAAGACAATAAAAACGTATCTCCCAATGAGGATTAAAAGAAAATATTGAATGTCATTGGATTCTACTTAGTTTTAAAATGTAGTATTTGCAATAACCTAAATACTCTTTCATTTTTATAACCAGCTTGGTTCTAAATCAGTTTTGATCTTTTTAAAAGGAGACCGTTTTCTCTTCTCCCTTACCACCTCCCTCCACCCCTCTCACATGTACCCATCACACACACACACACACCAAAAAAAAAGAAAGAAAAAGATTTCTATTGTATGTTTAAAATACACTTGAGCCCTGGCTGGGTAGCTCAGTTGTTTAGAGCACATGTGTCAAACACAAGGCCCTCGGGCCAAATCCGTCCCGCCTGGCCTTGCAATGTGGCCCGCACCGTGCTGTCATCACTGCACTCCGCTGCGTTTCCATCACAATGACAGTTTATGACTGTTCAGTAAACCATTCGGCCCGCGATTTAGGCTGGATTTTAGATTTTGGCCCCTTCTCTGATTGAGTTCGACACCCCTAGTTTAGAGCATTGACCTCATGTGCTCAGGTTGCAGGTTCAATACCCAGTCAGGGCACATACCAATGAATGCATAAATATGTGGAACAACAAATCAGTGTTTCTCTCTCTTTCTCCCACCTCTCCTTCCCTCACTCTCTCTCAAATCAATTATAAAAATTAAAATATCCTTAAATTTGTGGCATGCACAGTATTATAGGGCATTAGAAAATTAACTTTCTAGCTCTAGCTAGTCTGGCTAACTTGGTTGAGTATCATCCTGTGCACTGAAAGATTGCTGGTCAGGGTTTGATTTCTGGTCAGGATTTGATCTCTGGTTGGGGTGTGTACGAGTGGCAACTGATTGATGTTTCTCTCCTCTTTCCCCTCCTCTCCCTCTCTCTATTCTTCCCTTTCTCAAAAAAAAAAAAAAAAATTAAAAGAAAATTAACTTTCTAGGTGGTACTTTATGGTTCTCAGTTTTAATGTATATTTTTGTATCTCATGATTTGTGAAATTGCTAACTACTAGTTTTGTGTGGTTCTTGGACAATTATCATATGCTCAGAGAAGGATGTAATATAGTAGAGTAGAAAGTACTTTGGAACAACACAAACATGGTTCAAGTGCTAACTCTCGCCACATTTGCTTCATCATCTTGGTTGTAACTCTCCATCTTTGGGGTCCTCAATTTTCATGTGGTACTAAGAGGTACATAGAATGGGGGCAAGGTGGCCCCCATTCTATGTACCTCTTAGTACCACCTTGGATTCTGCCACCTTGCCCCCATTCTATGTACCTCTGCTCCATAAACAATCCATCTTAAGTAAAATTGTTGTGCTTTTGTTTGTACTTCAAGGTTCTCACCACCTCAAATATATGTATAAGCTAGTAAGCATAAGCAGGGCGCTTACCGCTCTGTAAGAAGGGTTGGGACCAAGTCCCCACCTGGTCTCCTCTACTCCCTTCCATTTTGCCACATCTGAATCCCTTGTATATAAAAATTCTGGTGCTACTGTTGCTCACCTTCCTTATCTGTGTCTTACCTCTCTTCTGGGTATTTTGTCAGGATTTTTGATGATGTATATAAAGCTCCTAGAACAGTGCCTAAGACAGCAGACACTCAATCAATAATGTGGTTATGTTTTGATGATTTTGTTATTGGATGCTTGATTTAACCCACAGTTCCTGGTTGTGGACTGAAAATGCTCTATCAGCTAGATGTTTAGCATTCCGTTGCTTTAGTGGTTCTCAAATTCTATAATTCCAAGACGATCCTGCCTGTTGAACAGTCACTGTCCCTACTTAGTCTTCTTTCTTGTTATTGTAAAATGAAACTGCTTCAATAGGATTGGTGGAAGAAATGTAGTGTTTTTATTTATTAAAAAACATATTTTTATTGATTTCAGAGAGAAAGGGAGAGAGAGAGAGTTAGAAACATCAGCGATAAGAGAGAATTATTGATCAGCTGCCTGCTGCATGCCCCACACTGGGGATGGAGCATGCAACCTGGGCATGTGCCCTGACCGAGAATTGAACTGTGACTTCCTGATTCATAGGTAGATGCTCATCCACTGAGTCACCACATCTGGGCAGTACCAAAAGCTTTTGATCCAACTTGATGGTACCTGTACTTTGAGAATTGCTATGACAAGAAAAGAGTGATAGGTAAAAGTAATCTATAAGTTAATTGAAGTCTGAATACCACCTATAGGCTGCTAGAATTAAAAAAGAAAAACAACTATGTGCAAACAAAATAAAACAATAGAATTTAGTTCACTTGAAGAAGAATGGTGTGGGGTTGTGGAAAGAGCCCCAGATAGAGAATGTGGAAGTCACTGTCCTTATTTCTCCCTCACCTTCCACTTAACTAGTGGTGAGATCATGGGTAAGCAATTTCTTCTCTAAACCCCAGTATTGTCAATGGAGGGATTGATGAT